CTTTTGGAGTACTCTGGACACTCTTACACTGTGACTTATGAGGATAAAACACACTTTTCTCCTGTAGTCCCAATGATCTTTCTGCCTTGCTGCAAAAGCTCCTAGTATTGACAGGCAGGGAGATTGGCTGGAGATGAGCTGATGAAATAAAGTTTATTTTGAGTAGGATGATGTCATGAGCTTGAGTTCAGGATATTGATCCCAGGCTATACATTTAAGATGAAAATATCACAATATCACAAAACACCACAACTGTTTCCAGCTGGTGGCTTAACAGAAATACATCTGTCTTGAAGGGCATGGGAACCTGCTTTTGGGGGCTGCCTTCTATCAGAGAGCTCTGAGAACTGGATTTTTTTCTCTTAATTCTTTATATAAAGCCAGCTCATGAAAAAAAAGAAAAATCAATCCTCCTACTTCCAGAAGAGATTAATTCAATATTGCTTTGGGAATTTAGCATCAAGATTTTAAAGAGATGCTACAACTTAACTAAAATCTACACCTTTCTCCTGGTTTTGGATGGGATAGAGTTAATTTTCTTCCTAGAAGCTGGTATAGTGCTGTGTTTTTTGCTTCTGAGCAATCAGATGCAATGCGTTGACCTGTGTTGTACAAGAAATACGATTTTTTCTTCTGGCTCTTTCCTGTAATATCTATAGCTTTCAGTCTCTAATGTTTTTATACAAGAGAAAAATTAAATTGCATCTGGAGAGGAGTGAAGGATGCACACTTTGGATACCACTGCACACAAATCTTGATTCAGTTGTGGGCTTCCCACAGCTGCTAAGGAAATCCCTCTGTGCCTCTCTCATCTCTCACACAAGTTGTAAACCTTCCAGCTTGTATAGCTCCTCACTACAGACACCAATGCCTGTAAGAATGGGACACTGCACCTGGTTGGAGTCTCTAACCTTGGCTTGGCTCCACCTAAAACTAGGCACCCAAAACACAAAAACTCAATAAATAAATATTGGTATCTCCCGGGGGAGCTGAATTGCTCCCTCCAAGAACTCCAAAGAGAGAGCTGAAGAGGGTGAGACTCCAATACCTCAGATGCTGTTTGTCTGACGACTGTAGATTTGGATGTAGCCTCGAGTTAAATGTAAAATGTTGTAACATCACAGCTCACTGGATTCTTGTGAGGTATAACACTAAAATTGCCAGTAGGCTGCATCGTGGTGAAAGACCAAACCAGTCACAGGATCTTTCACTTAAGAATCTCTGTCTGCTTGCTCAAAATTGTTCATGATTGATCATGTAGCTTGTGCAGCTTCTCTCTGTCAAACTTTCTAGATTGATTGAAAGAGATAGTTTCAACACAGACACGTGGAATGCAATGAAATATCCCACAATACATAAAGTGTGAATGAATGGTGCTGACAAGGACTGATATGCTTGTCCCAGACATCACATCCTATAGACACATCGTATGTGTGACTTAGGAAAGGTCAAAAATCTTAAAATAGCTGATGTCCACAAGCCCATCCTCTCTCTCAAACTCTAGCACAGATAATGTCACCACTCAAGTTACTGCCACACTCATTTCTTTATTTTTCCAAACACTATGACATTTTGATGCCAAGTATTTTTTATGTCTTGTAACCAAACCTTGGAGGGAGGCTGGATGTCACACATTTTTATTTCAATTCTTGTGTTTAATACAAGTGACAACTGGATCTTTTTTTCCAGCTTGTTCCAATATTCCAAAAATACTTACGTTAGAGACTCATCCATGTACCTTGTCTCAGAGGTACCAGAGGATCTGGCATATGTGATTCATTAACTGAACATTTGTTTCCCCAAGAGCAATACATGTGTCACTTGTGCTCTGAGGCAATACATCTTTTTCAAACAGTCTGCACCTACTTCCTTCCAATTCGTGGGACAGATAGCAAGTAGGAGTGATGTATCTGGCCCCATCCCACACAGAGCAGGTTCAGGGGACCAGCACATTGAGGACTTTGCAAAGGTCAGGCTTCAAAGTACCTCTTGTGCCCAGAGCTTGGACAGCAACATGGTGCCAGTTGGCGATGCAGAGCTCTTCTGCAAGTCAACTTTGCCTCTTCACCCAGATAGCTACTCCACTGGAATGGGAGTAGGAATTTAAGGCAAGGAAGGGTAGGACAGTAGGTGTGCATGACCATCAGCACATAGCTGGCCACCTTCCCATGATGTCAGAAGAGCCCTGACATCCAGCAGGGTCACAAGGAGAGAAATGGGAACCATCATGGGGATGGCAAAAGCACAGAGTCATTGACAGAAGGATTGACATAAATATCAACCCTGTCCTCACTGAAAGCTTGAAAGACCTTCCAGACTTTCTTAGTGGCATTAACACACATCTTAACCTTAGCTACCCACAATGTGCCATGAAAATCTCTTGTATGGGGTTAAATCATAGCATATGAAGCTAAATCACAGCCTGTGTCTGTGAAAAAGAGTTTCAGCGTTTTCAGTTCAGAATGCAACTTCATTGAGTAGCTGTGCCTGTGAACGTGCTGGGGAGTCTGAGCTGGCATGCTGCCCTGCACTGCTCCCCTCTCCTTGCAGCTCAGCATAAGTCCTGTCCAGCCCATTTTGCTTGAATCAGATTACAAACTACTGTTATTGTCAGATTTTAAAAGCCTTGGAAGAACAAATCCATAGTTAATAGGCTATGCCCGGAATTTCACCCATGTTTGCTTTATGCAATTTTGGTTTCAGTGGTCTATATATTGAGTAGATTAGCTACTGCCTGAGCACTCACACCAGGCCACAAGATGGTCCTGTGTTTTGAAGACTAGCCAAAGTCTGAGCCAATACACACTTCCAGGTACTTTCAGATAAAACCCACATTATGTTACACTGATCATATCCTTAATTATAGAGACTAAAATACCAGTCCCCCTCAAAAGAAACAGTCTACAAGGGAAGGGACTGAGTACCAAAATTTAAATGAATACAAGCCTGGAAATAATACCATATTTAGAAATACAACATACTACATGCCACAAGCATGATCTTTGTCCTGTCTTAGTCAAAAGTATGAGATAATCATCTACTTAAAACATTTTTTGTGCTTGCCCTACAAATCTAATGGTTTCCAGACTTCAATAACCACATTAAGGTATTTGCCCCCATGGCCCTGCTGCAATTAATATTAATTAATATTAATATTCTTCAAACACAACCTGTGGATGCTGATGGATCTAAACAGACAAAACCTTCAGTGCATTGTTCACGCAGTAAAAACCTACAAGAAGATTCCTGGGGTGATCCATTTCCTTTCACAATCCCTTGAAAATTTAACCCCTAAATAACATATCTACAAATTCTCAGAAAACATTGCCAAGGATACACTATTTCTTAACATGTAATCAAAATCTAATCCTTACTTTAATTCAGATTCATAAGGTGGGATAACTGCCATCCCTCAAGTCTGGACTGCCACAGCATTTGCTGCCCCAGACAAATAGGCAACAGTTAGTCGTTGTCTAATTTAGCAAGATGATTGTCCAGTCAAAGCAATATTGTAGATTAACATTTTAATGAGGAGTGCTTTTATTTCTTGGCAGAGTAAAGCTCCTAAGTTATCCTGATGTTTTCCAATACATGCTTTACCATTTAATTCATTGCTCATTTGAAATGAGTGAAATGACCCCACCGTGGCTCAGCAACAAGGAAAACAATAGCAAGTTGGGGCAAAAAGCAGAAGCATTCAAAGCCAGTCTGTGTCCTTTGATCATCAGCATCTTCAGAAAACACCGAATCTACTTCTAAAGCAAAGTTCAGCCATTAAAAGGATCATCTGGTTAATAAAAGTAATCAGGATAATTTTCAGCAATAAATTCTAGCTTAAAAAAATAAGCACACCAAGACCAACTCTCCAGCTGCTGAACACTTTATTTTTTTTTTACTTCATACACCTGAGCTCTGAAGGCTTGTACAAAATATAAAATAAAATCCCAGCATGGTTTTACTGATGTTAAAAATGCAGCCTCGTATTTTTTAATTATTTATTGTAAATATGAAAGGGGGAGGAAAACTGCCTGAGTATCTATTGAAAGCACTTAACCTTTTGGATATTATGTCATTATTGTGGCAATGGAAGTTGGCTAAAGCTATTCAATTTTTTAAAGAAATGTCAGTTTTATTCAACAGGACACATTTCTGCAGAAATGTGTTATGTTTCAGGGAGAAATTCACTGAGAAGTGAACTTCAGTTGAAACCTTTTTGCTGTCTCATCCACAAAAAAACCCCACATTCTATTCTGCTGAACAAGAGCAAGGGCCTGCCTTTGGCCCCTGGAGCTAATGGGAATGCACCAAAAAAACCCCACTGAGACAGAAATAGAGGGCATTATAAAAACACATATTCAAACCTCCTTTACTAGCAAAATTCAAAAGAAAATACAGGCAGCAGCCCCAGCTGCGACAGGGAGTGCAGCAATATGAAGAGATGAACATTTGGGTGGAATGTAGGAAGCAAATCCTGCATGATTTCCACCATGAAGTCCACCAGCACGTAGGTGTGTACGTATGTGATATGGCTTGCAGAACTAGGTCCTGTGAGAAGCTGAGCAGCTTTTGCAAGATGCTATTTGAGGGTACCAGGCACTGAGGTGTGAGAATCATGAAGCCCTCAGATAGCATCGTGGTAGATTTAGGTCCCTAATGCAATATAAAACATATTTGCTCCACTTACTGACCCGGGAGCTTGCTTTGGCTTAGTTTTTTTTCCCAAGCATTTGCTGTTAAGTTAATTAAGCACTTAAAAATAACAGTCTTTCACCTTCCAGAGACTTCACATAAATACTAATCTGTCTCCTTCTGAGGGCCAGATTTTCTGCAAGGGCAAATCAATACAGCTTCACTGATTGAAGATCTGGCCTTAAAAGTCTATCCAGTGCACTGAAACCAGCACAACATGACGTATGCCTTGGCAGTAGGACAATTCTCCAGATTAATATTTCAGGGAAATTTGGCAATTAAAAAAGCTGTTTTGAAATGCTGCCACTTCTTTAATCTGTGCTGACCACCACAGTTTCTCCTCTTGTGAACTGCACAGTTAAGGGTGGAGTTTCACTGTCATTCTCCTCGAGCTTTAGGGCAGCGTTGTCCAAGCCAGTGCTGCCAGGCTGTGGCAAGGCAGTGGGTTCTGCTGTACGAGTTGGAGTGGAGCAATACAAGATGAAGCCCACCATGATGATAACAAAGGACAGGATATAAAGACCTGAAAACTGGCAGAGAAAAGAGATGCATTAAGTCTTGCCTAATGTAAAAACATGTCAATGCTGCCTTGTTTTAAGAATGAGAAAGCTACCCTTCCTTTTGCAAATTACTTTAATGAGGATTATCACCACAAGATGGATTCAGGCCTGAAAATCAAAACTCAACAGCTCCATTTAAAGACTGAAGCTGGTTTTGTCTGCATCTCATCCTCAACACTGCTGGACAGGGTGTTTCCTCAGGTCTACATGCAAGAATATTAACAGATAACAAATAGCTGAAAATATGGTGATAAGGAAAGATAGTTAGTTACACACATGAATGCTGAAACATTCTACCCCAGGAGAATTTTGATCCAGCACAGCCAAATATTTCAGGTCCTGGCAAGAGATGAACCTCTCCATCCTACTGCAAGTCCCCAGAGCAGCTGATTCTCTGCACAGATCTGTTAACCATCTGCTGGGCCAGGTAAGTGTCATTACTGGACCAGATACCAGTTTACTCTCTACACCCAGCAAGTCCCTGAATGGAGGGAGACTGGGGCTCCTTTTACAAGACTGGCATTTGTGCTCTGGTAAGAGTATGAACTGCCAAGGTATGTCAGGCATTTGATTCACCATCACTCATTTGCCTATTAAAATTCCAATAATCGCCAAGATTCACCCACCTTGACAGCAAAATAAATGCTTACGTCATGACACCAGATTCACTAATAAAAAGTGTCCAAGTTATGCACAGCCACGAACACTTTTTCAATGGATTTGTTAAAATCCTCCCCACTGGCTTTGTCAAACCACACTGATTAAACAGCAGGAGGAAGGACATAGCGTATCCTGCATCCCACTGTCAATATTCCCTAACCTAATAGTCCTTAGCTTCCTTAGACATGCCTGAAAAATGTGTTCTGGTTTATCAAGCACAGATCTGGATGAAATGAATGGTAGGGCCTGGACAGTAGACTCTGATCAAAAAAAGACTGAAGAATCACAATTAAGGCACTGCAATTCCTAGCTGGAAGTCACTTGGCTTGGAAAACATTGGATGGCAACACACAAAAGGAAAAGCAGACTGTAACACAGTGGCCTTGCATTATGTGCCCTTTCCCCCTGCCTTGCTGGCTGTTTGACTGGAGTCTGGACTCAAGCATTTACTCTGCACAGAAGGAAGCACCAAGCTCTGAGCATATCCCAGTGGAGGCAGCGCCAGTGGTCCTACCCCTGACTGACCAGTTTCCATCAAATGGGCAAAGCTTGAGTCTGTATCAAGGCAACTGCACAAGTTCTCCAGCCTAGGGCCATGAAGTAACATGAGCTTGTATGCAAGGACCCGTCGCTGGCAGGTGAGACTGGGCAGTCACTGGAACTGCAGAGCACACTCACAGCACAGCGTGCACAAGGCTGAGGTGTCTCTGATCCTGTTAATTCCTCTGTGAGTCGATACAGACCCCAAGTCAGGGTGCCAAAACGGTTGCAGCGTATCTGTGATTCAAGGCCCACCTATGTTTTTGCTGCTATTGACACAGCTGAACCTTACCCACGCTGCTCCAACAGGGCTGTGCTCTTTTTTTTTTCCCCCATTTGTTTTTGGGAAGAGCTCAGTGTTCTTTTTCTGGGATTTTAATTTATTTTTTTAAATTTCAAATACTGCAACAGCTTCACTGCTTCAGGCACTCCTTTCAGTCATGATTTGTGCAGCTTATATCCATCCCCATACTCACTATTGAGCCCAAAACTGCTACCGGAGGGCTGTAACCCCATCTAGTGTCTGTTTGTGCAGTATACTCCCTCCCACAGGAGTTTATACAACAAAAGCATTGGGAGACTTTTTTTACTCTCTCTTGAGGGATTACAGGTATCTATATAATGAGCTCATTGGGAAGCACAGCAAAGATTAATTAGGGATTGAAAGAAAAAAAAAAAGGAATTCAAAACAGATATTCAAAATTCATATTTCACTTTAAACAGACACAGCTAGGGAAGAAAAGTTAAGTGCATTAGCAAAACACTGAGCACATGTCAAAACCTCATCAATTCCTCGGCCTGGTCTCTGCTGTACCCGCTGTATGTTTGTGCTGCATCTGTTTGAGCACAGGCTCAGAGCAGAGCAATTAAGAGCTCTCTGTGGCTCTCTCCACTCTGCAGCCCTGGCAGCCCTTCAGCAGCTTGCTGTGAAATATTGTCAGTAACAGGGAATACAGAGTGATTCCTTGCATTTTTGTTTGTAGAGTCCTGTGTCCAGGATGCTTTTTAATCCAGCAAATGTCTTGCCTGGTTTATTTGCCCCATAGGCAAAGAAACTATATGGTTAACTTGGCAGTAGGATTTTCTACTGCTAAGTATTATGTTAAAAGCCATGTCAAAATCAGGATCTCTCAGTTCGTGGTGCCTAAGTTATCTCAGATTCTCTGATTACTAAAGGTGCAGCATTATTATTGCTCCCCTTTTTGCTGCTTCATTGTTTCTAACCACAGATGCAAGTTCCTATTTCAAAAAATATCTGAAATTCTCTCAATACAATCCCAAAGTCTTCCCTAACTCATTTTTCCTTTTTGCTACCAGAATACCCTGCTGTTAGAAATTATGAGATAGTCTGGTCCCAGAAACACCTCTCCCCAAAATATGCTAAAAATCCTGAAGAATGAAAGTTTAATATATCCCTTCCAAAGCTCTTACTTACCTCTTCCTCTTCACTATTATGGATATAAATTTATAATCACTTCTTGAGTTAAGCTATCTGGGTGCCAAAATACACATTCAGAAGCTACTTAGAAAGGATTTAATTGTTATAATGTAAGTATAGTTTGCTTCTTGCATTCATTCTTAATGGATAGCTTGGAGCAAATTTTGGAACCCAAAACAGGAGGGAAAGCTGAGCTAAGAGACTCTTGAAAAGGAAAATCTAGCTGCTGTCATACCCTACCATTACCAGACCTCTCCGCTGCCTTCATTTTCAGAAACAAATCTGACCTAAAAGCTTCTGGCTGGAGAGAAAGCAACCACATGGAATAATATAAATTAAGTTCTTAAGCAAAGTTCACAAGCTTCTCACTAAGCCCTTCCAGTCACCGAGTGACTGACTCAATTACTGCAATTGCATTAACGAGCTCAGTTCCCACAAATGATTCTGGATGAAAAGTGTAAGGTGGAATGAAATCCTTTCAGCAGTGTCATTTAGTTTGAGTAGACACTGCCAAAAATATTTTAGAGCACAGGAGAAGCCAGTGCCTTTTGGAGAGCATACAGAATAATAGATTTATTTTTATTTTTTTCAATTCCTTTAGTCTCTCCTTAGCAGTAGCACTGAGAGCGCTTGATTCTTATCCCAAAATGTTGGTAACAAACAGATTAGATTTCTAAAAGAAAACACTAATTTCTGAAAATCAAGCTGGTCCTGTTTCAGACACCAAAAGCCTTTCAGGACAGGGAGATCAAACCCTCTCTTTGAACACCTGAAGTGATGAACCAGACCTAATATACAGTTTCACACAGGACTTTCAGCAAGAACTCTACCATTTGAACACCTCAGGAAATTACTTACTATCTCTTACCATTAACTTATTCCTTCAAGTGTGAAATTGTTTGAAAAATCACTCTCTGCCTAATGGTGCAGTGCAATGTCACTAAGCATGACTCCTCCTGACTGACATCTGCTGACAAGGAACGATACAAGCTGTAGAAATGTGCAAATGACTGTTCAGGGACTTCTAAGAGCATCATGCTTTATTTATAATTTTGGAGTAGAAACATAACTGAAGGAATGTGAAAGAATGAACGTACTTACCTTATAGAAAAAGAGGAAAAGCCCAAAGAACAGACTGTAGAGATCTGCAGTCAGAATACCCAGGTTGACTGAGGTTGCACTGGTAACTTTAATCACAACTGGCATGAAGCTATACAGCCCAAACATGCACAGGGCAAAGACTGTGAACAGTAATGCTGTAAAACAAGATGACAAGTTACTCCTCAGGCACAGAATAATGATTATAAAGAACACTGATACTCTTCAGTCGCTTTAAAACTATGTATTATCATCTTTTAGGATGAGGTCTCCTAAAACATATGGGAATGCACATATAAGAAAAACATGAAATAAATACTTTTTTCCAAGACTAGTTTACATAGCAAGAATTACTGTATCTATACAAGAAAGTTCTCACTCTT